TTATATGCAACTTCAAATTAAGCTAAAGAAGGTCGAATCAAATTCACAGGAATCAAAATTTAATCTTGAGCCTATCCAACCTGAATTTAAAAACCAACTCAGGGATAGGTTTGAGGCCTTGAACACTAATGAATGAAAACTGTATGAGCTGTGGGAGGATATCAAGAATACCATCTATGAAGAATGTAAGAGGTCATTATAAAGACCGATGAAGAAGACCAAAACGGATGTCAGAGGAGAGTCTGAACATTGCACTAGAGTGCCAAGAAGCCAAAGCACAGGGAAGAAATCAAGAAGCTAAGGAGCTGAATAGAATATTTCAAAAGAAGCTTGGGAAGACAAGGCAAAATGGGCAAGGAGAAAATTGCAACAATGAATGAATGGAAATCCAAAGTCTCTGCAAACTTTCATTAAAATTAATTTTTAAAAATGTGCGAGGAACTGGAGTCAGAAAATCCAAAGGGCTGAATTCACTTGACATTTCTTAAGGTGAAGGGGTAAAGAACAAATTCAAGCTGCCAGTTGCAATATTTTAGGATGCTATGGGCAGAATATTGAATGATCCAGGAAGCATTAAAAGAAGATGGAAGGAGTATCCAAAAGAATTGGCTGACACAGAAGAATTTCAAGAAATAACATATGATCAAAAGGCAATGATGATGAAGGAGGAAGTACAAGCTGCTTTGAAGGACTAGGAAAAAATAAGGCCTCAGGAATTCATGGAATACCAATTGACATATTTACATATTTCAACAAATAGATGCTGCCATAGTCATGCTCACTAAGTTGCATCAAGAAATCTGGAGCACAACTACTTGGCCAATGGAAGAGATCCATATTTATTCCCATTCCAAATAAAGGTGACTTGACAGAGTACGGAAATTAACAATCACACACAAGCAAAATCCTGCTGAAGATTATCCAAAAATGACTGGAACAGTACATTTACAGAGAACTACCAGAAATACAAGCTGGGTTTAGAAGAGGTCATGGCACTAGAGACATTATCGCCAATGTCAGATGGATCTTGGCAGAAAGCAAAGAGTACCAGAGGAATGTCCATCTGTGTTTCATTGACTATGCAAAACCATTTCATTGTGTGAGTCACAATTGTGGCTGACCTTTAAGAGAATGGGAATCCTAGAACACTTAATTATGCTCATGTAAAACCTATACCCGCACTAGGAAGCAGTCCTCAGAACAAAAGCAATAAACACAGAAACATATATCTGTGTCTCAGATCTGATTTCTTTAGGGTACATTCCCAGTAGTGGAATAGGTATGTTAAATAGGATTTTTCTTTTCTCCTTTTTTGAGGAAGTATCAAGTTGCCTCCCACACTGGCTGCATCACTTCACATTCACACATTTCACATTCTTGAAAGATCCAGATTTTCCACACCCTCACCAGTATGTATTGTTTGCTGTCCTGTTAAACTTTTATTTTTGCTGGACTAAGATGAAATCTCATTGTTGATATGCATCTTTCTAGTAGCTAGTTTCGTACCTTTTCAATCTATATGAAGAACAGATAATTCAAGAAGCTGGGCTTTATGAGGAGGAATGTGGCATGAGGATTGGAGGAAGACTCATCAACAACCTATGTCATGCAGATGACACAACTTTGTTTGCTGAAATTCAAGATGACCTAAAGCACTTGCTGCAGAAGGTCAAGGACTATAGTCTTCAATATGGATTGAAAATCAACATCAAGAAAACAGCAGATGATAAATGGAGAAGAGATTGAGGTTGTTAAAAATTACAGCTTGCTCAGCTCCACAATCAATACTCATGGCATTAGCAGTCAGGAAATAAAAAGATTAATTTCAACGGGAAAATCTGCTTACGGGGACCTCTCCAGAGTATTGAAAATCAACAATGTCAGTCTAGAGTCTAAGGTGCGCCTAATCTAGGCCAGGTCTTTGAAATTACTTGCTGTGCATCAGAGATCTGGACAATAAATAACTAAGGATGACACAAGAATTGATGTCTTTGAGTTGTGGTGCCGGAGAAGAGTTTTGAACATTCCACAGACTGTCAAGAACATAAGTAAGTCTGTCTTGGAGAGGGTGAAACCAAGTTTCTCCTTGGAGGCTAGAATTTTAAAGCTTCATCACACATTATTTGAGCATGTAACCAGGAGGGACCAATCCCTGGAGAAGGACATCATGTTTGAAAGGGTTGAGAGACAGCACAGGAGAGGAAGACTCCGGAGGAGATGGATTGGTATAGTAACTGCACCAGCGGGTGTTGATGTGTCGGAGTCAGTGATACTGACTCAGGACAGAGCAGACATCGGAGTTGCTGTAAATTGGGTCACTATGATTTGCCAGCAACTTGACAGCACATAACAACAGTAGCTAGTGATTTTTGAGTATTTCTTCTTGTGTTTGATAGTCACCTGAATATCCTCTTTAAATATTGTGGAATCTGGGTGGGTTTTTTTTTCCTTCTGTCCATTTTCTAATAGGACTAGTCTTTATCTTGTTGAGATGCTGCTGTTAGGTGCCATCGAGTTGACTGTGACCGTTAGTGACCCTGTGAACAACATACCTGAATCCTGTTTTTTCCTGTGTCTTCATCATCAAATTTGGCACACTTGAGCCCATTGTTGCCCAAGGAGCACTCTGGCTTCACTTTCGCCAAGACATATCTATTTGTTCTTTTGACAGTCTATGGGATATTTAGCACTTTTTTCCCAACACACCAACTCAAAGATATCAATTCTTCTGTTATCCTTATTCATTGTCGAGCATAGCAAATGCTTGAAATGGTCGTGGCCTGAATCAAGTGTACTTTTGTCTTCAAACTAACATCATTCCTCTTAAATATTTTAGAGAAGTCCCTGAGAGCAGACTTGCTCAGTGCAATACATCTCCTGATCTCTTGACTGCTAATAGCAAGGATGTTGATTGTTAATCCAAGCACAATGGAATCATTGGCAACCTCAATTCTTTCTCTATCATGTTTTCTATTGGCCCACTGGTGAGGATCTTTGTTTTATTGATGTTGAGATATAATCCATACTGAAAGCTGTAGTCCTTGATCTTTTGCACAAATGCTTCAAGTCCTTCTCAGTTTCAGCAAGCAAAGTTGTGTCATCTGCATAAGGCAGGTTGTGGATGAGTCTTGTCCAATCCTGATGCTAAATTCCTCTTAATAAAGTCCACCTTCACAAATTATTTTCTCAGCATACAGAATGAATAGATATAAAGATAAAACCGTGACATACACCCTTCCTGTGTCCTTTGCTCTGTTCAGACAGCAGCTTTTGCATGAGCACAATTAAGTGTTCTGGGATTCCCATTATTAAGTATTAGTCATAGTTTATGATCCATAAATGTAAAAGGTAAAATATATTGGAATAGTCAGTAAAACACAAATAAACATTCCTCTGGTATTCTGTTTTCACCTAGGATCCATCTAACATAAGCAGTGATATCGTTGGCGCCAAGGTCTCTTCTAAACCCTGCTTGAACTTCTGGAAGTTCCCTGTCAATGTGCTGCTTTAACTATATTTAGATGAGTGTTAGCAATATTTTGCTTGCATGCGATATTAATATTATTCTATACTCTATAATTTTGGTTATGAGTCCCTTGGGAGGAATAGCATTGTCAAAATTAACCAAAAATATATTTATTTAATAGCTTGTTTCCTTTCAGAATAATCATCATTGTTAAATTGAGTTGGTGAAATTACACCTTAATGCAAAGAAACCTGATGCTGTCTCTGGGTAACTTTAATTCTGATAAATACATTTACTTTAGGAGGTTTGTTGGTTGTTTTTGTTGGAAGCCAATGAGTTTACCAATTCAGTGATCCTATGTACAATAGAAAAAAATGTTATCTGATCCTTTTCTATTCTTGACATCTGTCCTGTGTTCAAGCTTTTTTCTGTAGTCACTATAGCAATCTATCACATTGAATGTCTTCTCGTTCACTAACTCTTTACTTTACAAGCTGGTATATTTCTTCAGAGACTGATACTCTGACAACATGCCCAAAGTATGTGAGACTCAGTCCCACTAACCATCTTTTGAAAGGCATCCTGACTTCTTCCAAGACAGATTTACTTGCCCTTTTCAAAACTTTTCAATAGCACTGCAACTCAAAGACATCAATTTTTAGTAAACTTCCTTTGTCCATTGTCTAACCTTCAGATGCATATGAAGTAACTGAAAATATCATGGCTTGGATTGGGCACTCCTTAGTGTTTAAAGTGATTTCCTTGCACTTTAGAGAACCCTTTGTTAGCAGATTTACCAATTCCAATACATCATTTGATTTCTTGAATATCACTTCCATAGTGGTGCTTGTGTATCCAAGCAACATCATTGACAATTTCAATCTTACTTTTCTTCATTTATCATGATTGTGCTTATTGGCATCAAAGTAAGAATTTTTATTTTTCTATCTGAGTTCTAATCTATGATGAATCCTAGCCTGAGTTTCATCAATAAATGCTTCAACAATAATGGTATTTTACAGTATTTGTCCTGTGGGACTGAGTTTACTCAGCATAATGCTCTCCAGTTCCTCCCAAGTTAAGTAGTAATTTACAAAACCATTGCTTCTGCGTGCTGCATAGGATTCCATTGTATGAATGTACTACAACTTCTCAATCCATTCATTTGTGCTTGGACATCTGGGCTGTTTCCATGTTCTTGTGATGCTGAATTATGCTGCTATGAACATTGGTGTACAAGTTTCTGTTTGAGCCTCAGTTCTCATTTTCTTGGGGTATATTCCATGATTAAGTCAAAATTTACACAGCAAATTAAGTTTTCATTAAAGCATTAATATGCATACCATTCTTTAACATTAACATACACAATGTAGTTGCAAGGTTGAGATTCTCAAGTCGAACTCTAAAAACTATCAAAAGCTTCCCTCAGTGGGTCATTGGAGACTTTCAGCAAGCTATGGGAACTCACTTCACAGGAAGCTATTGCATTTTGTTATTATTTGTGCTTGCTCTCAATCTGATGATCGTTACCTACCTCTGCAGACTGAGCAAGAATAAGTTCACTGTGCAAGGAATTTTCTTCTTTAGAGATGATACTATTATATTCTCCACTAACATTCAACTGGATCCCATTTCTTGAAAGAACAAAAATAATAGCTTGGTTTAATTAGATGTGCCTCCAATATTATGTTTAGATCATAAGAATGAGGTTCACTTATCACAAATCATCATGTTATACATTGTGTGCTGTGTGCAAGAGAGAAGTAAGAAATAGTCTTTGTCTACAAGAGCTTTTATAGACTTGTGACTCTAGGACATGTCAAATAAGAAGGCTGCATATTTTAATCATGGTAAACAGTTAACAACTAGAAATTTTCACTAAAAGTCTAGATTTCTTTCTTTCTTTTCAAATTAGAAGGTCTGACCATATGAGTCCATACGTTATTGACTTAACAATTGGCTAGGATAGATTGAATACATACGTCTTTAACTGGGTAATGCCTTTTTCTTATCTGCCTCTCACACGTTGTAGATGTGTGAGAGGCAGATTGAATTTACACCATTAACTTCAATTATTTTTGTTATCTGAGTGACTTCCGTTGACTATGAACTAGTGTTTTACACATGTTCATACATAAATGATTATAACGGGATATGTATTAAGTAAGAGGTAAGCAACATACACACAGATTAATCTCAAAATAAGGGAAAAGCAAAAAGTTCTTACGGAAAAAAGGAGAGGCTTTATCATATAAAAAGTTCCAGAAGACAATAGTCGGGCACATTCAAAGAACTACATATAGATGGGGAGGCAAATTAGAGACGCTAGAGGGAAGGTTGAAAAGGAGCCATTCTGTACTCACACAAGGAGTTCCTGTTGCAAGTGCTGTAACTCACAATCCAGTTTGGTTTTATCCCCTCGTAAGTTCTGTAATCACATACAACAGTAGGCCCTACAAGTTACTCTAGAGCAGAATTTATGTTTATATTTAAGAATTCTACTTAACAAGCTGTAAGATTACAATGATATACCTCTATAATGGTACTGTATTCTATGATGGTTGATTTAAGTTCTTCTATATGTAAATCTCTCTGAAAAATAGAAGAGACAATTATTGAGAAATTAATGTGTCCACCAAATAATATTGATGGTTATGTGCTGTCGAGTCATAACCAACCCATATCTGACCCTCCAGTAGGTTTGCAGAGCACTTAATTGCATGAAAGGAGATTGCCCATCCTTCTCCTGCAAAGCATCTGGTGGAGTTGAACCATGTGCCTTTATGATTACAGTGCAGCTTCTTACCATTAGGTAAGAAAGCAATACTGTACCAAAGTGCCGTATCAATTAGGATGAAAAACTGTGCATGCCCAATAGTTAAAAGACGTTTTACCAATGTTACTGTTTGAAAACTGATCCAGACTCTGTTTTTTGATTAGGAATTTAATCTTGACAGGTGACTCCTGTCAATCCATCTCATTGAGAGCCTTCCTCTCCTGCACTGTCCCTCCACCCTCCCAAGCATGACCTCTTCATGTAAAAACACAATATTGCTTTTCAAAGAACTATAGTGCATTTGTAAGGTAACCAATTTTATCCAGTTTCATTTACCACTCACTCACTAATGATGAATCAGAGTTGATTCATAGCTGACCCTCCAGTAGGTTTTCAGAAGATATAAATAGTGCTGAAGCAGTTTGTCAGTCTTTCTTCCTCGAGTAACTGTATTGTGTTGGGAAAGTCTGCTGTCAGAGACTTCTCCAGAGTACTTAAGAGCAATGATATCAATCTGGAGACTAAGGTGCATCTCATACATGCCATGGTCTTTGCAAACACTTGCTATGCATCAGAAAGCTGGATAGTGACTAGGGATGATAGAAGGAGAATTTATGCCTTTAAGCTGTGGTGTTGGAGAAAGTATTGTATATACCATGGACTACTAAGAAAATGAACAGGTTCAACCTGGAGAGGGTTAGGCCAGGCTGCTCCTTAGAGGCAAGGATTCTGAAGCTGCGTCTGACATACTTTGGACATGTTGCAAGGAGAGACCAGTCCTTGGAAAAAGATGTCATCCTTGGGAGGGTGGAGGGACAGCACTGGAGAAGAAGACCCTCAGTGAGACGGATTGATTCAGTGACCGCGGTAATGGGGGTAGGTGCGTTGGAGACAATAAGATTGGCACAGGATAGAGCAGGGTTTAAGGCTGTTGTACACAGGGTCACTATGAGTGAGTCTCAAGTGACTTGATAGCACATAACATCAACCACCTTTGCCTTGGTGCTGCAAGTCCTTACCCCCTTGTGCTAAAATCAAAGCTTTGTGCTCCAAGACGAGAAGGTATGGGAATGTCTGATCTATAATTTTATTTCATGACTATCACAATGCCTGGCACATGGGAGGTGCTCCATGAATACTTAGTGAGGGCTGAATAAGAATGCAGAATATTGAAAAGACCAAAGTTAAGAAGGAAACAAGCAGTCAGTTGTACTATAATATCATTACACGATGTTAGAAAATGTGCATAATGAAGAGACAAAATGACCCCAATACTTTGTGTTATGCTCAACATCCACTGGACCATAATTATCTCTTTAGAACTGCTTTACTTTCATAAAAGGGGAAATAAAACTGAAAATAGGACTTTTTGTTCACTTCTCCATCTTGGAATAAAGATGTTTATTATTTTATACTGGTACTCTGGTGTATCTTAGAGCTACCACAATCAGCATCTCAGTATTAATGTGTTTTGTTATGAGATAGGCTCTGATCACCGGAAACAGGGAGAGATTTCCTTCCTTTCTTCCTTCATTGTTTTTTGCTTCTTTTCTTTCCACTTTCCTATCATTTAAATTTTTTTTTAATCAACTATAAAACAGGCTGGATGGACAGCTATGAGTTGATCCTGAATTAATGGCACACAACAACAGGAACCCTTCATAGGAACAAAGAGTACTAACCTTTTTCAAACTCTCATCTTTATTAAGTAAAGTCATCTCATAAGTGTGTAACTGTATCTGAAATAAACAAAGAAATTAAGAAAAGTCATGAGATCCTGATTTGGAAAAAGATTGTGACACAACATTAGTTGTAAGGAAGATACACTTGTGAAACATCTTTGGCCTATATGTGTTTTTCATTTTACAAAAGACTTCTCTATACCTGCCTCACAATTCTAGGGGTAAGCGTCATCATCTTCATTTTACCAGTAAAAAATGAGAGCTCAACATCATTCAGAGACTTTTCCAATGTTACACACAGAGTTGAGCCAAGAATGTGAGTCTATAGCTCCAGTCAAGTACATTTCCACTGGTCAGCACATCATACAGCAAGAAGATAAACAGAGTCTGTACTTTTTTTGGTGAAAAGGAGTATCTAAAAATCATTTATGTGGTCTCTATATGGTGATATAGCATGTTCTTCTTTCTTTAAAAACAAAACTAAAAAAATGTTCAAGATTTCTTACAGCAAATTCAAATTAAGTACATGTCCATTGTATTGAAACAAAAATCATTCTTGATATATAATTTTCATATTTTTAAATATAATTAATATTTACATTGATAGAATTGAAAATCTAGAAAAATAATTACATATTCAGAAGTTGAATTGTTACATATTTTAATAGTCTTATGAGTAAGGATCAACTTAAAAACAATAGCTATGAGTATTTTTGGTTTGCTTGACAGTTTTAAAGGTATTTTCACATAACAATCTCATATGAATTTCCCAACGAACTTAATGTAATATACAGTAAACAGTATTTAGATTAAAAATCTGAGACTTAAAGAGATTACCTTCTTGTTTGAGATGAGAATAGGACATGAACTTGCACTTTCTGACCCCACTAGTTTAGTAAGAGTAGTGTTTTCTATGACAATTATTTCTAATGTAAAGCTAGTTTTAATTAAAATTAGTTTTAATTAGCTTAAATTATAGCTATTCTGATATATAAATGCGTACTGAATTTAAGTTTCTAATAGGAAACTTGAAAAATTCAGAGACATGAAATTTAAACATGTTATTTAAGATATAAGCTAAAACAAACAACAAAACAGTATTCAAATAAAACCATAGAAAAATAGTAATGGAGATCTAAACTCATTAATTTATTAATTGCTGTCTTATATTTCCTGATAAGAACCTTGGACAGATATAAATATGGTTTTGTAAATGCAACGTAATAAAAATTTTGCAAAGTTCCTCAATTAAGTCAAGGAGAGAATTTTCCCATCTCTCCTCATTTTTCAGCTTCAAGATGGTGCATAATCTAAAATATTTTCTGAATTAGGGAATTATAAAATTCTATAGTCTTAAATTATAAATTATCATTATAATTAGAAAGATAAATAACACAATAAAAATAAAAAACAAATACCATTACAATAAAAATTGTCCATAATAACAAGTGCTAAAAATGATATTATTGAAAAAGTTGAACCCTTATGCATAGCTGTTGGGAGTACAAAATATCTCTGCCACTTTGGAAAATCAATCTGCAAGTTCCTCTAAAGAGCAAATAAAGAGTTATCATATGACCCAGTAATTTTACGCTAGGTTGTATATTCAAGAAAGACGGGAGAAAGAATATTTCTTTTAAAACTTACATATAAATATCTAAAGCAGCATATGTTATCATGAATTACTCAGTATGACTTTTCTAGTCATTGGTCTGCAACTTAGGACACGACTAAGAAGAAGTATGCAAATATCAGAATTACAGACCTACAAATAAATTGGACAGCTTCTGATATTGTAAATAAAATAAATGCTACCTTTTGGAATCATGCAGATAAAATATGCATAAAACAGTAACTTGACAATTGGTCAATTTTGCCATCACACCTGCCATGACCACATAGACTTCGAGGTTGAGGGTCAGAGGAAGGACTACCAGCATACACACCTGAGAAGAGGCTTTAAAGATTCCAGAATTGGGTTCTGAGTGTTTCAAAATGAAATTATTATCTGCTACTTTCCAAATAAACTCTATAATTGTGAGTATTGTCTATGAGTTCTATGTGGTCATGGCAATAAATTATTGAACCCAGCAGAAAAACCAATGAGAGCTGTGAGAAGGATGATTGATAGTAGAATTAATAAAGAAGGGAAGGAGCATGGGGTGACCACACTGGAATCTGGAATTTTCTTTGTGCTGCTGATGCTGTCGATAAAGTCAGTATAAGTTATACTCTGGTACCTCCACGCCTACCACATTGCTATTACACATTATTCATGAGAGTAAAAAAAGTAAAAACAACCTGGATATCCGTCAGCTAATTAACATATTCATAAAATATGTTATGTTTATACAATGAAATGGTTTATTTCCATTAAAAGAAATGAAGTACTGATATATGCTATAAGCAAGAATATAAGCTATAAGCAAAAACTCATTACAAACACAGAGGAGAAAGAAAAAACTAAAATGGCTATCAGAAGAGACTTTTTAAAAAATGCATTTGAGAACCAAGAAGTTAAAACAAAAGATAGAGATACTAAAGTCCAAGAACTTCACAGAGATTTCAAAGGGCAGCTTGAAAAGACAAAGCAAAACATTATAAGAAAATATGCAAAGAACTGGAGTCAGAGGGGGGGAAAATGGAAGAGCTAGCTCATCATTTCTCAAACTGATGGAATGGGGTGGGGAGGGAATTATAAGCCATGAGTTACAATACTGAAAAACTGTATGGGCAAAATCTTCAATATTTCAAGAAACATCAAAAGAAAATGGAAGAAATACACCTAGTCACTGTACCTAAAAGAACTGGTCAACCCTGAAAAAATTCTAGGGAGTACCATATGAATAAAAGTCAAGTTACAGTCAAGGAATGAACAAAAAATAAGGCCCCAGGAATTTTTGAGGGATGAGGAATACCTGGTTAAAATGAATAGATGCCACCCTGGACATGCTCACCAGTTTATGCCAGGAAATATGGAGGACAGCTGTCTGGCCATCTAACTGGAAGAGTTATTTGTCCCCATTCCCCAAGAAGGTGATACAATAGAATGTGGAATTTATTGAAAAATATCACTAATATCATATGCAAACAAAATATTGCTGAAGATCATCCCCAAACAGGAAGAACAGTACATTGACAGAAAACTGCCAGAAGTTCCAGCTGGATTTAGAAAAGGCTGTGGCAACAGGCATGTCACTGCTGATGTCTGATGGATTCTGGCTGAGGTCAGAAAATACCAGAAGAATGTCTATTTGTATTTTATTGACAATGCAAAGACATCTGATTGTGTGGATTATAAAAAACTACTGCAAACATTGAGAAAAATGGGACTATCCGAATACTTAATTGTGATCATATGAAATTTATAACTAGACCAAGAAGCTTTTTGTCTGAACAGAGCAAGGGAACACTGAATAGCTTAAAATCAGGAAAGATGTGTGTCATGGTTGTATCCTTTCTCCATACTTATTTAGTTTGTGTCCTGAGCAAATAATCTGTGAAGCTGGACACTATGAAGAGAAATATGGCATTAGGACCAGAGGAAGATTCATCAACAAACTGTGTTATCTTGATGATACGAACTTCCTTGCTGAAAACGAAGCTTTGAAACACTTGCTGCAAAGGATCAATGAGTACAGCTTTCAATACTAATTACATCTCAACATTAAGAAAACAAAAGTCTTCACCACTGGGCCAAGAGATAACATCATGATAGACCAAGAAAGACTGAAGTTGTCAATGATTTCATTTTACTTGGATCAACAATCAACACTCTTGGTACCAGCCATCAGAAGATGTATTCTGTCAGGGACCTCTCCGAAATACTAAGAACAATGATGTTAGTTTTAAGACAAAGGCCTATTTGATTCAGGCCATTGTGTTTTCAATCATTTGCTGTACACCTGAGAGCTGTTGAATGATAAGGAAGACAGAAGAGTTGATGTCTTTGAGTTGTGGTGGTAGAGAAGAATATTGAATATCCAAGGACTGCCTAAAGAACAATCAGATAATGTCCTGGAAAAAGTAAAGCCAGAGTGCTTCTTGAAGACAAAAGAAAGCAAAGCTTCATCTCTCATACTTTGGACATGTTGCTGAGAGAGGCTATTCCTTGGAAAAGGACATCATCTTTGGAACAGAGGAGGATCAGCAAGGGAGGCAAAGACCCCTAATGAGATTGAATGACACAATATCTGCAACAATGGTATTAAGTGTGTCAGAGATGATGGGGATGACATTGAATAGGACAGGGTTCAGGTCTGTAGTTCATAGGGTCTTGATGAGTCATATTTGACTCAATGGCCCCTAACAATAAAACAACACTAGTAGCCTAGTGGTAAGGAGCTGTGTTGCCAACCCTAAGGCACACTGTTTGAATCCACTAGCTGATCTATGGTATTAACAAGGGCAATCTCCTCCCATGTGATCGATTGCTCTGAGAACCCTCTGGAAAGTCAGCTATGAGCTGGTTCCAATCAATGGTACACAACAACAACATGTACTTTAATGTGAATGAACCTTGAAAATATTATGCTGAGAAAAAAGTCACAAAAATGTCACATATTTATACTTCTATGAATATGAAATATCTACAATAGGCAAATCTACATTAACAGTTATTTAGAAAGGGGGGAAAGGAGTGATGATAAATGGGATGGGTTTCTTATTAGGGGTAACAAAGAGCTTATAAATTTTAGTGCTGATTGTACAATTGTGAGTATACCAAACAGCATTGAATTGGGTTTGTTGTTAGGACTGTGCTTCCAGGTCCGAGTCAAACTGTGTGGAGTTTTATGTATTTTGAGTATTGTTGCACAAATATTGTTCCTTGGGGGTGAGGGAGCAAAAATAAATTCTTTATACAAGTTTCATTTTAAAAGGAATTTTATAAATAAAAATCTTTACTTGAAAATAAGCATTGAATGATATAATTTTAATTTATGACATATGAATCACATTAAGCTAGAAACCACTTTTTTATGTAATCAAATTTTGAGGAATACAAATTTAAGAATGTAAAGCTAAAGTTTATGTGTGACTAAATCATGCAAATTCCTTTTTTGTTATAATTATAAAGTAGCTTTAATGAATTTCTTGGAGTTATTTTAAAACATATGTTAAACAAATCACTTACGTCTATCCCCTTCCATTTACAACAAAAAGCATCATAAGATCACTGGCAATGAAAGTGATGCAAATCAAGACCACAATGAGATACCATCTCACTCCAGTAGCAGTGGCAAAGTTTGACAGGATATTGTTGTTATGTAAAACAGTCCTAAACTCGACTCTGTTCTTTTTTTTTTAATAATGATCTCTTTTTCTTCTTTTTTTAAATTTTATTTTATTAATTTCGGTGAATATTTACAGGGATTTTGGATTTCCATTCATTCAATGTTGCATTTTTCTCCCTGCCCAACCCTCTCCTCCCTCACCCCCCAGTTCGCTCTTCTCTTTGAAAGTAGAAGAAACATTCTTTTATTGGTATACAATCCTCCCTGTCCCCTGAGTACACTCCACTATGCAGCCTTTATTCTGGACTCTTGTCATGAGCATAATACCCAATCATATATAACTTTTAAACTGTTCTATCTCTCATCTGTTTCAATGCAATATACATAATTTATCCACTTTTTCTCAGTCTCACCCCAACCTTGATGTCAGTCCTTTTCTACGACAGTGGCAATATGAAGTATTTGCCCTTTTGGGACTGAGATATTTCACTCAGCATAATGTCCTCCAGGGTTACCCATTTGAATAATATTGCATGAGTTCCTTGTTTTTCAATGCAGTGTAGTATTCCGTTGTGTGAATATACCACAGCCTCTCTATCCATTCGTTTGTTGCTGGGCACTTAGTTTGTTTCCAATTCCTTGCTATTGTGAACAAAGCCACATTAAACATGGGTGTGCATGTATCTGCCTGGGTGACAGTTATGGTTTCTTTAGGGTATATTCCCAGTAGAGGAATTGCTGGGCCAAACAGTATTTCTGTTTGCAACTTCTTGAGAAAGCTCCATACAGCCTTCCATAGTGGATGCACCATTTTACACTCCCACCAACAGTTTTCCCACAATCTCACCAGCATTTGTGGTTTGTTACTCTGTTAAATTTTGCTATTCTGACTGGGGTGAGATGATATCTCATAGTTGTTTTAAACATACAAATTCTTAAGAGAGTATTATTGGTTCAACAGAGGAAAATATTTTTACCAGTAGTTGGGAAGTGCTTACTTGGTGTTCTGTCTCAGTTTTGGATAATTCCTCAATCTTCTTTTCCAGTCTATCTATATCCATAAGATTCTTGGTATTCTAATAGAAAAGAAGATAGCATTTCCAATTTAGTACTAGGAATAGTAAAAGAACATTACAATCAAAGTTTGCCTCAGGAAAGGGTAGTTTCATCATGGTTGTTAGTGTGTGTTGTCCAGTCAGAAATGACCCATGGCTGACCCTCTATTGACATATCAGAGGCAGCAAACTGCACAGGAAGAAATTGTCTGTCTTTCTCTTGTGACTTTAACATTAACATTGCTTTTAATATGTTTTAAACGAAGAGACAACACTAGACTTTGTCCAAACAATAGAATAACCCTTTCAACACAACCACTCAGGATTAGTCTCAGGTGACCCTTGTTAGCATCAATTCCACCTCAGCTACTCACTCTGACCATCTTACTGTCGAAGGATTATTGCATTCCTATTCTTCAAATGGTTAATTTTAAAAAATATTCTTCAAAGGGTTATATTACCAACAAGAAATATTTTAATTGCAAACACATCACTCTTTAAGAACCACCTCTTAACTTTCTAGATTACTGCCCTTATAACACACAAACCTTCACCTCCCCTAAAGTCTAAAACCCACTGCAATCATTTTATTATCCTCAACCTACTCATAAATTCAAACACCTCTTGAATCAGCTTAAATTCTTCTATGCATGATCTTTATCATCACTTCTTTCCACACCTCCTCAACTTCTTTCTTCACTTTCATTTATTATTTGCATAAATTCAGCCTACTTATCCCTCTATAAGGAACTCTGATAGCTTCAACAGTCCACTTTCAGCTGCTAATTAAAAGTTTATTAGAATCTACGCAGTAACAACACAAAAGACCTAGTGATTTGCTTTTATAAAGGTGATTGCAACATATCAGTTCTACTCTATCACATGGAGTCACTCTGAACCAGCATTGAAGGCATTCAACAACCATCACTCCACTGCATTCTTTCATAAGCATAGTGAAAGAAAGAATATAACCAAGCTTACAGACTACATGTTACATTTATTATCTTTAACATCAATGATTACTAAAAAGGTGATTATAGTATCTAATTTTATTCCACTTACATTGTCACTTACATAAATCATGGGTAGATAAATTATTTCCGTTGCCCAGGCTAAATCTAGCTAACCACCTGTTTCTATAACTAAATTTGTGCCAGAACACAGCTGTGCTCATTTGTCTATGGTTGTTTTCATACCACAATGGCTGAGGTAAGTACCCTGACAAAGGCCTTTTGGATAGGAAAGATTAAAATATTTACAATCCAGCTCTTTATAAGGGAAAAAAAAGAAGTTTCCAATCCCTGGCCTTGTTGTTGTGTACCATTGAGCTGGACCCAACCCAGAGCTGGTCCTCTAGCTGGTTTCCAGAGGCAAGTTAATCACACAGGAGGAGATTTGAACTGAGTGCCTTTAGAATGTCTGCCCATCTTTTTGTCCCTAGGCTACTAACCATTTTATAGATTCTTATTTCTCAAATTTCCATTCCCATTTCCAGTATCCTCACTCTCAGTGGCTAAATTTGTATCTTATTTCTCTGAGACAAGGTAACAATAATAACCATCAGAAAACCTTCCATTTGAAAATTTAATATCTTTGAACATGTACAAAGTCTGTTGATTTATCTCCACTTGTAAACTGTTACTGCATCAGTTCAAGCTACTATCAGCTTCTGCCTGGACTATTCCAGACCCCACTGCCACCAAGTCGGTTCCAACTCACAACAACTGTGTAGGACAGAGAACTGCCCCTTCGGGATTCTAAGGCTGTACATCTTTACAGAAGCAGATGGCTTTATCTTTCTCCCACAGGACAGGGAGTGGTTTTGAATCAGTGACTTTTTGTTAGCAACCAAATGCTTTAGCCTTGGTGTTACCACAGCCCCTATCACACTATTACAGACCAGACTCACTGTTGTCCAGTCTATTCCAACTTATGAAAATCCTCCCTCAGTCTGAGACTGGCAATATGAATACCAGGAGACATTCCATCCTTCTTCCATGGAGCAGTTGATAGGTTTGAACTGCTGACCTTTGAGTTAGAGCCCAGCAATTAAGTTGCTACATAAAAAAAAGTTCCTCAGATCACTACAACACCCTCTTATTTGGCGGTCTTACTGCTTATTTAGTGTCGCTACATTCAGTTCTCAACCTAATAGATGAAGTTTCTTCATAAAAAAAAAAACCCATAAATTTTTGTATGTCATTCCTGTGCTCAAACACCTACCATAGCTCCAATTACACTCAATATGATGGCTACATCTTTATAACACCAATAAGCTGGGTGCCTGATTTTTTGCACCTCTCTGACTCCATCTCTTGTCACTTACCCTGTCTGCTCCAACATCAGGCACCACAGTCTCTTAAGCAGAGCAGGCAGGCTGCACCCACATGACCTTGAATTTATCATTTCTTCTGATGAGAACACACATCCTTCTCTCCCAGTTGTTTTTTTTTTAATGGTTAAATTTTTAGTGTTGCTTTTTCTAACTACTCCAGTTTAAATTGCATCTCAGCCTCATTTTCCTATTTTCTGCCTTTCCTTTCTCATCTAACATGCCAGCTTTACATGGGCTGTTTTGTGAAAGCTTTTAACAAACCAGAGAGAAGCCTCCAAATGAATGTATGCTAGATAAAGGAATGAATAAAGTAACTTAGATCATGGCCAAGCCAGTTACAGGCTGTTCTTTACAATGTGTCAGATTTTTGCCTCCTGAGGGAATCTTAGCTAGCAGTGATATTTGTATGCATTTTTAAAATATATCAATATTTGCATTGCAATCTCATAATGAAGTAATGTAAAGTTATGTAAATTAGTTCCTGTTATTTCAATTCTAAATTGGTTTGGTGTAATTATTTGGTCTTAGTCACTCAACTTAAATATATGGGAGAAAAAAAAATTAAGAAGTTCAGTCATAAAACAATCTTTCAGAAAACCTTGGTGGTATAGCTACAATGTACCAGAATCTAAGAAAGGATTTCTTTCCTATCTTTATTTGTTGCTTTCCAACTCCCTCCTCAAAAAAAAAAAAAAGTTTACTTGGCCCACATTTTGAATAATACAATTATACAGTACAACCTAGTAAATACTTCTGAAAGTCTAATGTAGAGTCATGATAAAAATTGTGCATGACACTTAGTATTCAAAACACGTCTGTAAGGAACGTTCCACTCAAAACAGTAATTTACTACTAGCTGTTGTCTGCTTTCTTAATACAGTAATTATGTTGCTTCAATTTTGCATAAAATGATTCCTTTTTTAAAAAAGAGATTATACTACTTCCTAACATGTACGGAGTACATTATGGTTTGCCAAATGACTTGACTTGTATTATTTTATCTAATATTAAAAATCACCATATAGAGCAGGTTTTAATGATAAAAATGGCTTCCCCACTATCACACTCGCATCAAACTCAAGAACCAGGTCTTAGGCTCAAGAGCTTGGATTTTTGCCTCCTAGCTCAGTGTTCTTTCCATGGAAAATTTTCTAATAATATCTGGGGTAGATATGTTGGAGTCAGTGAGACTGGCTCAGGATGGGGCAGGGTTCAGAGCTAGTGTACATAAGGTTGCTATGAGTAGCAGGCAACTTGACCGCACATAGCAAAAATTTTATTTCATCTTAAATATAAGTCCCTTATTCCCACTGCATTCATAGATAACTAGAAAATAAGATACATCTGTCCATACATGAACATTCTTACAGAAAGACGAATTACCCTAGTTTACAGGACTCTAAATATTCACATGGTTTTTCATTAACTCATGATTTAATTGATTCAAAATGTTTATTCACGTGTTTAACAGTTTTAACCTACCTCTTGTTGGAGAATTTGAATCTCAATAATCAAATCTCGATTTTCTCTCTCCTAGTTTACAAAGAAAAAGATATTTTGAAAGTTATTAAGAAATTTAGAAATATATGACACATTTGCCTCTAAGATTATGGACATTCTTTCCCTTTACTTAGTTTACATATAGCATTAGCATATTACAGACAAAAAGACCTAGATTTTAAAATATCTTCAACATAATGTTAATTAAAGCTTTAGCTTAAAGTTTCTTGGAAATTGGTAAAAAGTCTTTCTTCTTAATTCAACTGTGGCAATTTGCTCATTGCTGTAGAGTTGAAAACAACGCACAGCTGACCCTCCAATGGGATTCTGAGGCTGTAAACTGCACAAGAGGAGACTATCCAACTTTCACTGGTGAACTGGAACCAACAGAGGAGCTTAGACTTTGAGTTAACAGTGCACCTCCCCATGGAACAGACTTCCAGAGGTCCTTCTATCACAATTAGGAAAGGGAAAAGAAAGCAAAACAAACAAAAAAAAGGGACAATGTGATTTTCCCTACTGCTACTTCACCTCACCTCTGTGAACTCAGCATACTGAAATCACAGGTTGTAATTCTCTATTTGAAGCGATGGCTTTCTCAAGACTCACTGTTACCAGTATACGTGAATATAAAAAGTAATTTGTCATTAATTTTAAATTGTTGTTGTTGTTGTTGTTATGTGCCGTCGAGTCGCCTGCGACTCATAGCGACCCTATGTACAACAGCCCTAAACTCCGCTCTGTCCTGTGCCAATCACACTGTCTCTGACACTCCCATCCCAATTATCCCAGTCACTGAATCAATCCACCTCATAGAGGGCCTTCCTCTCCTGCGCTGTCCCTCCACCCTCCCAAGCATGATGTCCCTCTCTAAGGGACATAATTTTAAATTATTATTAAAAAATTTATTTAATTATCTGGATTCCGATGCTGCTTGTTGTTGTTATGTGCCATCAAGTCGCTTGCAACTCATAGCAACCCTATGTACAACAGCCCTAAACTCTGCTCTGTCCTGTGCCAATCGCACTGTCTCCAATACACCCATCCCGATTACGCCAGTCACTGAATCAATCCACCTCAGAGAGGGCCTTCCTCTCCTGTGCTGTCCCTCCAAGCATGATGTCCCTCTCAAGGACCAGTCCCTCCTTACAACATGTCCAAAGTATGTTAGATGGAACCTCAGAATACTTGCCTCCAGGTAGTTTCTCGGTTTAACCCTTTCCAGGATTAATCTGTTTGTTTTCCTAGCAGTCCATGGTACCCTCAATACTCTTCTCCAGCACTACAGCTCAAAGTCATCAATTCTCCTTCTATCCTCCTTGGTCATTGTCCAACTCTCTGATGCACAAGGGATTGCAAAGGCCATGGCCTGTATCATATGCACCTTAGTCTCCAGAGAGACACCATTGCTCTTCAGTACTTTGGAGAGATACATAACAACAGACTTTCCCATCACAATACATCTTTTAATTTCCTGGCTGCTGGTGCCAAGAGTGTTGACTGTGGAGCCAAGTAAACTGAAGCTGTGAACAATCTCAATCCCTTCACCATCCATCCTGATGCTGCCAGTTGGTCCAGTGGTGAGAATCTTTGTCTTCTTGACATTGAGCCTCAATCCATACTGAAGGCCGCAGTCCTTGACCCCCTGCAGCAGGTGCTTCAGGTCCTCCTCAGTTTCAGCTAGCAGGGTTGTGTCATCTGCATAACGCAGATTGTTGATAGATCTTCCACCAATCCTGACCCCACATTTCTCCTCATAGAGCCCAGCCTCCTGGATAATCTGTTCTGCATACAGGTTGAAAAGGTGTGGAGACAGGACACATCCCTGGCATACGCCCTTCCCAATTTTGAACCATGCAGTGTTTCCTTGCTCCATTCTGATGACTGCCTCTTGGTCCAAGTGTAGGTTTCGCATTAGAACGATCAAGTGTTCTGGGATTCCCATTCTTCTCAGAGTCAGCCACAGTTTGTTATGATCCACACAGTCAAAGGCCTTTGCATAATAAATGAAAACACAGATAGACATTCCTCTGGTATTCCCTGCTTTCAGCCAAGATCCATTTAACATTAGCTACAATATCCCTACATGACCTCTTCTAAACCCAGCCTGGACTTCTGATGCTAGCTACATTAATTATCAGACTAGTGACTTTGAACCATCAAAATCTATCTGGAGTTTCCCTACAGCTTTGTTTAAGAAAAAAACAAAAATCACACCACAATAATAGTTTAAACAAATGAAGATATAGTAATCTCAGCTTCTACTTCATAAGATCTTTATGAAAACTAATGAGACAAAACATTAAATATTCTTTTTAAATTTAAAAATCATATAAAATGCAAAGTATTATTATTTCTGCTATTGGGGATTGTTTATGTAATGCATAGATAGATGTACAAGCTCAACAGATGTGCGATTGTGAATGAGAGTACATCCATGAACACACACAAGTTAGACAAACAATCTTCCTAACACATGCTGTAAGTACACCTATGGATACAATAGAACGAACAAGGGGAAATAAAGGGTTCTCATGCTGCTGTGGTTAAAGTATACAGCTGCTGATGGAAAGGTTAGGGGTTAGAACTTAAGAGTCAATTCATTGGAGAAAAATTGAGCAATTTCCCCCTGTAAAGATTTACAGCTTTGGAAACCTCAATAGGGACGTTCTACTCTATCCTACGGGATTTCTATGGGTCAGGATCAGCTTGATGGCTATGGATTTTAGTTTACAGGAAGAAGGAAGTAAAGAATATTTCTCAGCCATAGCTAAGTATTGAGGAAATGAATTGTAGAACCTGAGGGCTCAGGGCCAACATTTTAGAAACCATTAAAATCAATTGGAACAACATAACACACAAAGAAACTGCTCTACATCTTTCTTTTGTGAATAGTAACACAGTCTTAATAGTGTGAGAACAACCATCCGAGTTGCAACTGTTGGTCTTGGTCTCTGTCCAGAAGAAAATCAGAGCTGCATTGAAAGAATGAGCCCACAGCACTAAGACATCTCATGAACCTCAATATCCATGATTCTGAGATGAGGAGATGATGCCCAGTTATCACGACCAACTTCCCTGAAAGGGATCATAATCAGAAGATTCTTAATAGAATGGGAGAAAAACATGGAACAAAACTCAAAATTATGATTATAAAAGAAGTAAAACCAACCTCACTGGTTGGATGGAGACTGGTGGAATCTAAGGCTGTGATGTTCAGTTATCCCTCAAGCCTGGAAGTGAATTTCCCTGTGGCTCTGTTTTCTGCCAAACAGTAGGTAGGTCCACAAGGTGAGCTATAAGACCAAGTATAATCAATCATTCAGGATCAAAAAGGACAACATTCACCCAGAGACAAAGCTTAGGAGCAGAAAAAACAAGGAACAAAGTATGAACAGAACTGGGAAACACACAGCCAAAGTGGCATGGATGCTACAATATTGTGGAGATTATAATCAACAGCATGAAAAAGTATGTATGAATTGTTGAATGGAAAACTTATTTGTGCACTGAGAGTACAAGAATTAGAGGGTGCATGGCTGATTGCTCTTCAGAAATCCCATTGAACGGTCTTAGCTGTCTAAAAGGAATCCCAGCAGAATATCCTGGATAGAGTAGGGGCAATGTGTAGCAAAACTCAAAAACATAAGAAAGATCAGGCTTACCTTACTAGTCAAGTAAAAACTAAAGGAACCCCTGAAACTATGACCTTTGGTCACACTTTGATCCTGGAACAAAACTCACCCTTGACTCAGCTTTCAACTAAACAAGTGCGGACCTATTGGGTCACATGAGAGGCTCTCACACCTTCAAATTAACCAACATAGAAGGTCAAAGGAGCAGCAATAGCTCAAAGGTAAAGTCCTGAAGGCAGGAAGGGCAGCATAGGCAGGCTAATGGAAATGAGAATTGCAGGTAAGATATAGAAAAGTATATATTCTATGTACTGTAGTTATGTTATAAAATAAAATGTATATGAATTATTGAATGAAAAATCAATTTGCTTTGAAAACCACAATAAAAATAATTTTTTGCTTTGTCAACCACAATAAAAAGAAATAAACAGTCCCATCGAGAGGGGGCGAAAAATCAGAAATTAAATCAGGGTTACTAATCATATCCAGACTAAATGCTAAGACGATGGTGCTTGATTGTCCGTTAAGCCTGGAGCAAAAGTCACCCATTACTCAACTTTCAGCCAGTACTGACAGATGGAATGGGCAAAATCTTAAATGATCCAGAAAGCCTAAAAAGAAGATGGAAAGAATACCCAGGGACAGGAAAGAAGGGTGAACAGAAATGAGATGCCTAAGAAAGGACTGCAGAAAATCACTGGTATGTTGTGAGAATTGTAATCAATGGCAGAGAAATATGTGCATAAATTGTTGAATGGAAAACCAACACTCTGTAAATATTCACTCAAGTGACAACAGAACTTTTTTTTTAAAAGAGAAAAGGATGTGATTGTGTCTCTAGCACTCGATTTTGAACAACAGCTAATATTATCAAGCCCTGGGAGTAAAGAGTTGTTAGCTGTCCCTCCAGTGGGTTTTCAGAGACAGTTTATTACACAGGAGATTGTCCATCTTTCTTCCATGGAGTATCTGGTGGATTCAAACCATGTGCCTTTGGATTAGTAGCGTAACTTTTACCACTAAGCTACCAGAGATAGGAGGTAAGAGAAGCACAGCAAATGCTTTCTGTTTCAGCTCGCGTAGCCCCTTCAGACTAGATAGTATTGTCATCTCCATTTTACATATGAAGACCAGAGGCTTGAAGTTTTATGGCTGATTTAAAGTTACATGGTTCTTGGGTCAGGATCTGAACTCATTTGGTCTGACTCCTAAGCATGTTGTTGTTGTTGTTGTTATGTGTGTCAAGTCGCTTGCGACGCATAGCGACCCTATGTACAACAGCCCTAAACTCTGCTCTGTCCTGTGCCAATCGCACTGTCTCCGACACTCCCATCCCGATTATCCCAGTCACTGAATCAACCCACCTCATAGAGGGCCTTCCCCTCCTGCACTGTCCCTCCACCCTCTCAAGCATGATGTCCTTCTCCAAGGACCGGTCTCTCCTCACAACATGTCCAAAGTATGTTAGATGGAGCCTCAGAATCTTTGCCTCCAAGGAGCCACCCGGTTTAACCCTTTCCAGGACAAATCTATTTGTTTTCCTAGCAGTCCATGGTATTCTCAATACTCTTCTCCAGCACTACAGCTCAAAGGCATCAATTCTCCTTCTATCCTCCTTGGTCATTGTCCAACTCTCTGATGTATAAAAAGTGATTGTGAAGACCATGGCCTGTTACAAATGCACCTTAGTCTCCAAAGAGACACCATTGCTCTTCAGTACTTTGGAGAGGTCCCTAACAGCAGACTTTCCCATGGCAATGCGCCTTTTAATTTCCTGACTACTGGTGCCAAGACTGTTGACTGTGGAGCCAAGGAAACTAAAGCTGTGAACAATCTCAATCTCTTCACCATCCATCCTGATGCTGCCAATTGATCCAGTGGGGAGAATCTTTGTCTTCTTGACATTGAGCCTCAATCCATATTGGAGGCTGCAGTCCTTGACCCTCTGCAGCAGGTGCTTCAGGTCCTCTTCAGTTTCAGCAAACAGGGTTGTGTCATCTGCATAACGCAGATTGTTGATAAATCGTCCACCAATCTTGACCCCACATTTCTCCTCATAGAGCCCAGCCTCCCGGATAATCTGTTTTCTATCAGAGTAGACACTTCTCAATGATTCACAGACTGAGTTTTCCCTGTAAAGCATTCTTAAAGACTTACAGAATCAATAATAGCCTGATACTCAGTAAATCTAATCGCCAAGTTTTCCCAAGAGTTGGCCTAAACAAAACTTTATGGTTTGCAGAAGGTTACAGGTGACTGAAATAGATCTTTATCTCAAGCATATCAATGACTTAGAGACTCTAAACCCAATTTTTCATCTGATATCTATTAAGTTGAAATTAATATTAGTTGACTCCCCCCCTGATGCCATTATTAACATTGCTCAATTCCTGGCATAATTAAGATTATGGAGATTATTACTAATATTCTCATTAACAAATTAACATTTTCAGTAAAAGTAATTTTTCTGGATTTTTAGCTAAAGCTGAGCTTAAATGATTTATTGCTCTGAAATGGGAAGCCTAAGCTTGTTTAATTAGCAAATAGTCCAGGCAACTTCTTAGTTATTGGATTCTTGTTAAATCTTGAGAAAAAGAAGGCATTTCTGAAAAATCAAGTGGTTTATGAAACACTTATCAAACTTCAGGAGGCATTCCAGATAATTTCAATTTTCACAATCGGTTAACCAACAAAGTTGAATGACTTGTAAGGAATTTTAATAATAAGTGAAAATAAAACAGGAGTGTTTTCCTATTTGCTTTTACTTTTTGATAGTGTAACCAAGGTCATTTATCAGCCTCCTGACTTGGGCCCAAAATAAGCCCTCTTCTATTTCAGTTATGTAAACTTTATGTCAATCTCAAGCACTTGTATGACTTACTAGATGCTTGTTCTGGGCTTCAGTCATGCTCTTGTGCTCTTCCGAAGCAGTCATACTGATTTTCAGTTCCTCTAGTTCTTCTTTTAACAGATTTGCTCTCATAATAGCCTGGTGGGCACTGTAGGCGTAAGGGGTAAAAGGCAATGAACAAAACCTCAAATATAACTGTCGAGGATACTAAGTAAAGCCAAGGACTATTTTTGGATCCAAGTTGAAAACCACTAAGCATTGAAATCATACACTAAAAATGTTTAAAATATACTCATGATCTTTCCTTAGGAAAATGATGGATTTGAAGGAAGTTTGGTGAAGAAAGAAGGACAGAGAGAAGTCAGATATACTTCCCAAAGCTAAAAATTTAGAGAATCCTTTTTAAATCCTTCATCAGCTGAATTGCTTATTTTTCTCTTACAAAGAATATGTAATATTAGTTAATGAAATTCTACAACTATGTATAGAACGTCACGCTGTGGGGCTCGTGCCCTGTATTGGGTCTATTACAGTCCCTGTTCCCTGTCCTCTCAGAGCATATACACTGGTTTAGAAATTCATGATGTGTAAATTAAAATTTACAATTAAGGAAAATTATGCCTAAACAAAAATGAATTTCATCTAATCTCTATAGAACATACCTTATAAAGAAATAAATCCTAGATCATATTTTGTAGCAAAGCATTGGAAATAAGCTACATGGCTGAAAGAAGTCAATTAAATGAATCATGGTTAATTCCCTTCCTTGAGAATATAAACTGTTTTCTAATGGAATCTCAAGGAAGGTATAATATTTTTTCCTTACTAAGGAATCACACTGACCATTCAAGAAATATTTACTAAGTTCCATCTTTGTACCAGGCATTGGCATAGGAACTGGAGAACACAAACCCCAACAAAAACCCACCAACGTGGAGTTGTTTTGATTTATAGTAACCTTATTGTACAGAGTAGCCCCAAATAGAGTTTCCATGGGTACAAATCATTACAGAAGCAGACTGCCTCATCTCTCTCCTGTAGAGTCCCTGGTAGGTCCCAACCCAACATTTGGTTAACAGTTGAATAGCTTAATTATCCTTGGTACCATCAGTCAGGAGATCAGGAGACATATTGCACTGACAAATCTGCTGTCAGAGATCGAAGAGCAATGAAGCCAGTTTGAAGACTAAGGTGCACCTGATTAAGAATATTGTCTTTTCAGTCACTTGCTACACATCTGAGAACTGCACAATGAATAATGATGGCAGAAGAATTGATACCTTTGCATTATGATGTTGGAGAAGAGTATCCCATGGACTGCCAAAGAACAAACAGATATGTCTTGGAAAACGTGGAGCCAGAGTGCTTCTTGAAGGCAAAGATGGCAAATCTTCATCTCTCATACTTGGTGTACTTTCCTAGGAGTGATTATTCCTTAGAAAGCGACATCATGCTTGGAAAGATGGAGGGTCAGCGAAAGATAGTATGACTCTGCATCAAGATGGATTGACAAAGTGACTGCAGCAATGTGCTCAAATGTACCAATGTATTTAAAACAGGAGGAAGATACAGTTAGACTGATCTTTAGACAATGCATGACTAGTGTGATGCAAGTTTTGGAACGGCCTGGAGCTAAGTTAGAGTCTGCTGTGCTGACCCAAGGGAAAGATGGTTTAAATGGTGGCTTCAGAAGGGAAAGAAATAACTTTATTGTAGAGTTATTTAACAGGAGTTGCTAATTCATCTAGACGCACAAAATGAGAAATTTTTAAAAAGTAAACAAACTTTCCAATTTACACTCAACCAGGTAGGTGGTAGTATTCTTCTAGAGCATTCTCTTAAGCACTAAGATGACCAGAATGAGTAAGACAAAGTTCTTCTCATCGATAAGTTCACAGTTAATATGGAAGGCAGATAATTCTGTGATAGGAGTACTGTACAGGATTTAAAATGTTTATAAGAGCCAAAAGGATAAAGAACTACTTTTAAAGTATGTAAAGACAGAGATACAAAGGCTTAATTTTGTGGACATTACTATTATGGTTGTCCATTCAAAGTCTCCAAACTTTCAATCCTTCTGAATTACTCAGTTCTTGTCTAATACATTTTTTTAATTGCTTAAATTAAACAGAATAAAAATTCATTAGAATGAGGTTCCAATGGTACATTCATTTCAGGCATATTTTTTTAACTTGAATTATTTTTTTAAATAA